AATGGCTGGTTGTTTGGTTGATCAATATATATATATATATGATACATATGTACTCGCGTACAAGACGTATAAAATTTGTAAACGGCTACGAAATTCGAGTTCATTTTTTAAAAAAAAACCGTTGAGCTATTATACATCTCAGATTAATAATTAATTTGGAATAGAAAACGATTTCATTTTTTTTATTTTTTTTTTTTAAAAACTTTCTTTTCTCGTATTTGCTAATCGAACGACAAAACGAATTTTTCGCTGATTATCGAAATAATAATCAATTATAAATCACAGTCAATAAAAAAAAAGGAAACAGATTCGACAAAAACCTTAAAAGTTTTGTTTTTTGTTTTGTTTTGTTACCCACACCGGAAACAATATTTCGTTTAAGGAAAAATCATTAAAGACAACATTTCAGAGTTTGAAATTTTCTCGATTTTCCGACATTACGAATGGTTTCATACCTACATTTTTTCCACCATTTTTCCCAAATTTTCCACATTTGACAAAAAAAAAGAAAAATTATCAATACTCATGTACGTAAAAGGCAAGCAGGCAGGCATTCGTTCGAAAAAGTAATTTATCGACGCATTTACAAAATTTTGTTTTCCGGTAATTTTCGAAACGACTCCGCGACGGAAAATTAAAGGGGAAAATCATTATTTTCCAACCCTACGAAATTTTCTTCTTTATTAGTGACATCTACGAAAATTTTTGTTTGTTCAGAGGGATGAAAAATTGTATACTTTTCCATTCGAGTTTTTTTTACAAAAAAAAAAAAACTCACTCCACTCACTCTCGTCGTAAAGCAAAAAAATACGTTTCTCTCTCTCTCTCTCTCTCTCTCTCTTTTAGCGAAAGTTAAGTTAAGGAAAAGAAACAAATTTAATAATAATAATAATAATAATAATAATAATAATAATAATAATAATAATAATAAAATTAAGGCAATTACAAACAGAACGATCGGCATGCATGACTGCTTTGAACGTGAAAATTAGAAATGGTTTATAAAATGGTTAAAAAATCATGTAAAAAAAAAAAAACCATCACCACCACCACCGCCACCACCACCACCATCCGAATGGTGGTAATCTCAGGTATTGTTCTCATGAAATCAACCGACCGTGACGACGGAAGATTCTCGCACAGGTCCAAAAGAAAATTACAAAAAAAAAAAAAAAAAAAACCTTATTGGCGTTTATATACGTGCGATCAACGGAGGTTATCTATCAAATTTAATCGAAAACTTTTTTTTTTTTTATATAATGGCGAAAAAAAAACCGGTAAAATAATTTTATTAACGATAACAATTGTCGCAATAATAATAATAATAATAGTAATAATAATAATAAACGATTTAATATCATCAAATTTTATTTTATTTTATTTTATTTTGAAGGGAGACCGAATAATCATTTTAACGGGATCCAAAATGAAGGGAAGGGAAGGGAAGGGAAAAAAATTACATCGTCGAAGAAATTTTAGCAACAACGAAAAACCTAATTAATAATAATAATAATAAATTTTGATGTTTCGCAACGAAAACCTTAAAAAAATACGACGTAAATTTTTTTTTATACAACAAAGAATAAAGTTGAAAAATAAAACGAAGAAAAAGTGTAAGAAATTTATTATCTCTGATGCACGAATTCTCTTTCCAATTTTCTGCTTCATTCATTCACTCATTCATTCATTCACTCACTGATTCGATTTAAAAATTTAATTTTAATTATTTAATTTATTCGTCGCAGAAAAACAAAAAAAGAAAAACGAAATAAAAAATCATTAAATCCACCTAAAAAAAAAAAAAAAAAAAAAAAAAAATCCTTTAAAACATTCTCTTGTTCAATCGGTTTTTATCGTATAAAAAAAAATTTTTTTTTTCCGTATTAAATTTTACACGATTTCAAATATTATTGAATCTCTCTCTCTCTCTCTCTCTTTCTCTCTCGAAAAAAAAATTGTTGAAATCTTAAAAATGTTTTTTTTTTTTTTTCCAAACTAAACCGTCATCATTTTAAACATTTAACAATCGCATTTATAAGTATTATTGCTACGAAAAAATTTCCCTTTTTTTACATTTACATAATTCCGCTAAAAATTTTTTTTAAAATAATTTTTCCATCATTAACGAATTTCACGAAAAGAAAATTAGCAATAATAATAATAATAATAATACATCACAAAATTTTCGAGGTGCTTTTAAATTCACACAACATGTCGTCGTTTCCTTGTAAAAATTTTCCCTCGGAAATTTTCCTTTAATCCCAAGGACGCGTTTTTATTATTGTTATTATTATTAAAGAAAAATTTTTTTTAAAATTTATTTTTTTCATTTTGAAAAACCCCGGAAGAATTCGGTAAAAAACCGTTAATTTTTTTTAATGTCAAATAAAAAAAAAAAAAAAAAAAAAAAAAAACTGGTCAAGATAAAATTATATTAACCGGTGGCTGGATAATATTTTTTTTTTTTTTTTTAATAAAAAATTATCGTTTCCTCAACACGATTGATTTTGAAATGAAAAAAAAAAAAAATTCCAAATTAATGTCGTTATTTAATCAGGAACTCTTGTTTTGTTATTAACAAAAAAAAGAAACTCGATAAATATACGATGTTGATTTTCCGGTACTTAACCCCCTAAAAATATTAAAAATTTCTCAACAAATTTAACCCCTACTAACCCTACCTCATAATCAATACATATATCAACTCTTATCACGCCTTTTCACATTAAAAATTGATAAAAAAAATAAAAATTTTTGGAAAGAAAAGTCTTGAATGATGTGTTTAAATCATGATTTTTCCGGTCGTATAAACGTTACGATCAATTTTCTTATCAAAATAATTCCCGGTTGAGGGAGGAAGGGAGGGAGGTGGGGGGCGGGGGGCAATCGATACAATGATTAAATCTAAACGATATGATAATAATATTTTTCCACTTACCCTATTGATCCAGCTCTCTGCTTTCGAATTATTTTGCTTGGGTTGGTCCCTGAAACAAAAAAAAAAAAAAATGTCAGTAATAAATAAAACCCCCCCCAAAAAAAAAAAGGATAATAATAATGATTTATTACATTTAAGCCTAATTAAATGTAAAAAAAAAAAAAAAAAAAAAAAAACAAAAAATATCATACGCCGCCATTTTTTATTTGCCTGAATTTAAAAAAAAAAAAAAAAATTTTTGTTTTTTGTTGTTGTTGTTGTTGTTGTGCCTAAAGTTCATTAACATTTTTAAAAATATTTTCAAGTTATTTATGGAGGAAATATGAAGGTTATTCCTTTGATATCAAGGTGCATATTATTTTTATATAAATGATATTAAAAATAATTTAATAACAAAAAAATTGAACGCCTTCATTTTACTATTATTATTATTATTATTAATATTTTTAATAAATTTAAAAAAAAAAAGATGGTGATTGTAAGTTTTTATTTTAAATTAGTCACAATGTAAAGTTAATTCAGTTTGACTTGAGTAAAATTTTACTCGATAAATAAATTTTTAGAAAAAATTAAATCGAATCATTTTGATGACATGTTACATTCGAAATGCAATTGTGAAAAATTGAAAAAAAAAAAAAATTTTTTTTTTCTTTGCTTTCAACATTAAATAATAATTAAAGGATTTTATAATGTGGAAAATAATACTTATTGTATAATCGTTTAATATAAATATTTATAAATCATTTATAAGGACATCCATAAGTTAAATAACAAAATAAACAAAATATTTATTTTCGCTTTTGTTAGCCTATATGATAAGGGCAAATTTCAAAGTAAATCATCATTTTAAATGTAATCACAATAAAGAGTCATAAAATGCTATTTTTAATATATAAAATTTTTTATTTAATATAATAAGAAAAAATTATTTAAAATAAAATAAGGTAAATTAATAATAATAATTGATTTTTTTTCCCATTATTAAAATAATAAATTAGTATTTATACATAAAAGTGTAATTTTATTCGATTGTTAAATTAAAATAATTAAATTAAAGGTATTCGTTGTATTCGATAATTCTTTTCGTGTACCTTAAGAAAATAAATGAATTAAATACTATAGAAAATAAGAAAAATAATAAAGATTATTTTAAGAATGTTAAATTATGCGACAAGTATTGCATAACTTCTGCTTTAAAGTTTAATTGTTTTAGGTACCTTAAAAACGATTATAGATGCATAAGTGATGTGCCATTACAAATAATAAATTATTAATTTATATTATTAAATATAAGGTTTTGATTAGTTTATTTTTTATCAATAAGAATAATTACTTCATATAAAACCCACAATTTTTCTATAATAATTGTAAGAAACATTAAATATTTTTTTGAAAGTTTAGCTAGTAATTTATTATAATTAAATAAAAAAAAATATTTTAATCCAATACTTTTATGGATTATGTAAATAAATTTAAGTTTTGGATATGTATATGTATTAAAAAAAAGAATAACGATTTAAAAAAAAAAAAAAAAAAAAATTTTCATTTGTAATCAAGTTAATACAGATGAATTTTTCAATGCATATTTTATAGTCAATTGTATTTATAATAATGAAATTATATTCTTTTGGTTTAATATAAGGAAAGATCTGAAAAATGCAAGAATATATCATATGGAGATAACAATTTATTAACAGCTTTTACAATTGCAAAATAGGTCAAAGAAATAAACAAAACAAAATGGATTCCTCTAACGCCGAGGACACAAAACTGGTATTAAATAATAATTTAAATACAAACCTAGCATTGTATTTCCCGCATGTGACATTACTGAATATTCATGTCATAATCAAATTGAAAAAAAATTCATGTGCTTCCTTGTCTATGTAAAAATTTAAATGGCAAAAACTTATCACTATACTATAAATCCCCGTTACTGTTTACGGATTTTAGGTAGCCATCTTGTTTTATTTTTTTTTTTTTAATAAGAATTTCCGGTAATTCGTTTTTTACTGAAATAAGTGAATTACGTATCGAAGCGATTAATTGAAAATGTAATTCATCACACAAAATAACCACCGAAAAAAACTAAATATTATTTAAAAAATAAAAATATAAAAACTTAATAATTTTTCTGCGCTTTCTCCTAAATTCTCAATTAATATTAATTCTATAACTTCAAGTCAGAGGTCACTACTAATCAAAAGGAATACCGCGTTTTTCGGGATTCAAAAGAAGAAAATGTCAGAGCGTTTAAAAAAAACCCAAATCGAAAATTTTTTAGTTTTATTTAATTAAAAAACATTATTTTTTCGAAAGTAATTAAATAATACAGAAAAATTAAAAAATAATTTTTACCTATTTTGCTTTTTTCTTTGATTTAAGTTTTTTACCTAATTTTGGTTCGTTCAATTTTAAACTTTTCTTACTCATTGTACTACTCGTTTCATCTTGCAATTTTGAAAAAAATGCTGCAGATGATCTTATAGGCTTTCCGCTGCTTGGCTTCACAGATGTTACATTTCTACTTTTGGTAATTTTCTGCAATAATTTATCAGATATTTGTTTATTTTTTAAACTGTTCTTATTTGCATTTTCAAGTTTTTCTTCTGTTTTTTCCTCCAATTTTTTATATTTTAATTTTTGTTTTAACTTTTTCTGTCTTCTCTCTCGTTTTTTATCAGTAGTGGTCCTTTCACTTTTTCCTATTAATTCTCCTTTACTCTTTGCTTTCACTTCTTCTGGTGCTAACATGGTAGCATCACTCGTGGCTACTGGAGCTACTTCTTCCATAGAAATAGCAGGTAAATTGCTAACAATTTTAACCTCTGGAACAATCTGTGAAAAAAAAAAAAGAATGTATTATTAAATACAAAATACAGAATTAACACAGATAAATATAAAAATATATAATTACTTGTTTGGGTGTAAAATGGAAATTTGATAAAGCATCTAATTTGTGAAATAAACTTTTTAACATTCCCCTAATTTCTTGATGTTCAGGAGGTTCCACTTCTGGTTTATCAATACTACCATCGAATGCTTTATTTTCAACTTGTTTTAAATATTCTTGTTCATAAATTTGAGCTAAACTTAATTTACTTTTTTCTTGGTCAAGTACTATTCTTTTTTTATACTCCAATTCTCCCTCTGTTGGTTTTATTTTCCTAACAACATCATCCCAAGCTTTATCTTTAATTCTTTGCAAAATAATATCTTCAAGCCTCATTGTACTCTTCTCAGTTAAGACAGGAGCTGGCCTGGTTGCTAAATCGAATTCGACATATTCTTGAAGTAGTGAATTTTGTGGTCGTTTATCGGCAGTAATTTCTCCCTTCATTTGCCAGGGTTTTTCTTTTAAGGCACTTTCTTCTAAATTGCTTATTCTTTTTTTCAATCTTTCCTGTCTTGCTTCAAAGTTGGAAGGAGTTGCATTTTCATTTTTATCATTTTCTGTTTCTTCTTCATCATCGTTTTCATTAAATAGACTATCTGCATCTTTATCATCATCATCATCATCATCTTCTTCGTCATCATCATCGATATCATTACTGTTATTTATGTTATCATCATAAAAATCAGAATCTTCCCCTTCCTGATCATTTAGGGAAAATTTTACTTTTTTTCTTTTGTTATTTTGATTCTCATTATCAGTAATATCACTGTCATCATTATCATCTTCATTGGAAGGTCTCTTAACACCAGTTTTAAAATCGTCATCAGGCTGATCGAAAAAATCATCATATTTAGGATTATTTTCTTTGTCATCATCATTATCAGAATCGGAACTTTCTTTAAAATAATCAATGTCATAATCTTCTTCATCATCATCATCATCGTCATCATCATCACTTTTAGAATCTTTTTTTTTATTTTTATTTTTTCCATCTATTCCTTTTTCTACTTTTTCTAAAAATTCTTCCATTTCGTGTAATTTAAAAAATTTATCATCGACAACGGATGATTTTTTCAATTTTTTTGCATCAGTCAAATTTTTTTTTTGTTTTTTATTTTTGACATCTTCAGTGGAAGCATGGTCTTCTTTATCAGAAATATTGACATTAACATCTGATTTATTACCATTTTTTATATTATTTTTCTCGCTTATCTTTTTATCATTTTTTATAGGAAATTTAAGTTTGTCTCTTTTACTCAGTAAATGTGCTAAGCTATTAACAAGCTTATCATAAATTGAATTGTTTTGAAGTTCAATTTGCTGCCATATTTGTTCTTCATCCAAATTTGAAGTAACCAGTTGTTCTAATGCTTCACTTTCCTTTAATGGAAATTCATTTTTTTTGCCAAAGTCATATAACTCTTGAGTCAATGATAAAATATTTTTGGCTTCATCTTCTTGAGAGCTAAAAGCAATAAAAATATTTTTAAAATAACCTATTGCTTAGTAACAAATTATGACATAAAACTAATTATAATACTATCGAATATTATTACTGTAATAAATTTCTTTTTTACATAATTAAAATAATTAATTATATTATTTGTTGTTGTTAAATCTTTATCAGTTTTAAAAGTTTTTTGTTATTAAAGAAAATAAAAAAAACTTTGATTGGTGAATTACAATGGCAACATTTTTTTACCTCAAGTATTTTTCTGGTTTTTTAGTTGCAGCTTCAAACTGATTTAAAAAAATTGGAAGTTCATCTAACTTCATTTTTTAATTAAAAAATTCCAATGTGGGTTTCAAATGAAACATAACCTTATTTATCGTGTCAATAGATAAATTCATAACATATTAAAATATAAGCCAATCATTGGCTAGATTGAAATGACAAATTACGATTATACTTAATAATTAATAAATGAATATACTCCATATACATAAGTAATGTAAAGTATTCTGAAATTAAAAAAAAAAATGATTTAGTTTACTGTAAATAAAATTTTTGTTTTTAAATTAATTTTAATAATAAATTATCAAAACAACAAAAAAGGAAAAATTAGAATTTTACAAGAATTTAAAAATTTTGAAATTTTATGTCAGTCAAATTGTTTAAAACTATTTTAAAAAAAAAACATAATTATTTGTTTAATTGTTTCATATTTTTTTATATGGTAAAATTTTAAATAAATATGATTAAAATCAAAAGATCATCAACTTGAAAATTTTATAAAGTATATATTCTAATAGTAAAAAAATTTAAAATGGAAAAATTAAAGTCAGAAAAACAATGGAATCCATTGTACGATATCAATAATGAAGAATGTAATTTAGAAAATGAAGTTTCAACATCTAATACGTTAAATTTAAAAACATCAACCGTTTTAAATTATACTGAAGAATTTCCCAAAGAAGCAGATTTAAAATGGAGTTTATTTTCTGCTGCTTGTTCTAGTTATAGATTTGATTCTGTTTTGAAACCATTTCCTCCTTTTTTTCTAATAGATTCAGAAAACAAAGAAATTGATAGATTAGTAAGTTTTTTTTTTTGTATATTCTTCTTACTTTTAAGTACTAATTTCAATTATATTTTTTAACAATTTTTTTATATTTCATAAAAAACAATTTCAATTTTTTTTTTTTTATAGAGAGAAGTTGTAGAACTTTGCCCATCTATACCTGAATTAGTGATACAACTAAAAGCCAATCAAATATCGAAAACATTAGTGGATTTACTTTATTGGGTTCTAATTCAATTACAAGAACCTATATATAATTTTATTCCTAAAAATGAGGTAGAAAATTGTTTTTCGATTAAAATTTGTTCCTATAATCAGAACTTTTACATTTTATAAAAAACCATTAATACCATTACACAAGATAAAAGTATAATAATTTAAATTCTAACATGTAAAAAATACATTTCAATGTATAAAATTTCAAAAATATATAATCAATTTGTAGAATTGTATTCAAGATATTGTTTTCATTTTAATTTTAGCATAATAAAATTTTGTCACAAATTCCATCTGTAATGTCTGCAGCCATGCCTGATTATATGTTTAAAGTTACTTATGGAAGTAATTGTCAACAAAAATTTCAACTTATGGCAGCAAATCGTACGACCAAGCTGGCATTTCACGGAAGTCGTTTAGAAAATTTTTTTTCTATTTTGAATCATGGACTTCAAGTATCTTACAATAAAGTAATTTTTTAACCAAACTTTCCAATCATGAATAAACACAATAAATGAAGTTTAAAGAAACAAAGTAACGACAAATAATTTTTTTTTTTTTGATTTTAGAGAGGGGCTTTCGGATCAGGTACCTATTTATCCAGTGAAATGGGTCTAAGCCTTTCTTATAGTTCTGTCGGCTTTTCTTGGAGACACAGTTGTTTTGGAGATCATATTAGCATAGTTGCTCTCTGTGAAGTTATCGATCATCCAGAAGTGCGATCAGAATTTGATACAAGTAATAATTTTTTTTTTGACATGATTAATTTAATCACTGAAACATCAATTTTATAAAATTTCATTAGTTGATTAGCATGTAAAAATAATTTGTTTTAAAATTTTTTAGGAAAAAGTGATGGTAATAATTTATTTAACATATGTAACAATCAATCTGTACCTGGCAAATATTTTATAGTTGAAAACAATGACCTTGTTTATGTACGTTATATTTTGATTTATCGTAACGATACTCCTGAGTAAGTACCTCCATTTTAAAATAGAAACAAAAAAAAAAAAATCTTGATTTTCTAATCGAAAAAATATATATAATTTTTTTTCAGGTCCCCTTCTCTCTTGACATCTCCGACATTACTTGGATGGATTAATAGGCATAGAATGTTCACTTTTGCTCTTGCATATGTAATTCTTTTACTAGCCGTTGGTTCTTCGAATTCTTCATTCATTTACAAATTTTATAAAAGACTTATGCAATAAACAAGAAAAAAAATTAACAAAGTAATAATAATAATAATAATAAATTTTATAAAATTAACCATTAGATTTTTTACTAAAACGTAAATTAATTTGTATGAATATTAGTTTTGTCAAAAATCACATTTTAGGCAAACGTTACAATTTTAAATTAAAAAAAAATACATTATACATAAAAAAAAAAATATTGTACTGTACATAATGTATTGTAAAGAGTTAATTAGTAATTTTATTAAAAAAATTCAATTCAATCAAATTTTATTTCAGACATTTTTAAATTTTTTTGATTAATTTTTTATTCTGCGACTCTTTTTAATGTTCCTTCTTTTTGTACTATCATTATTATGATAGTATCAACTGCTTTATCTATTAAATTAAACATAACAAAACAAAAGAGAAAAACAAAAATTTTTTATAATTGAGTATATTATTTTATAGAAAAAAAAAAAATTAAAAATGTGCTGTGAAAAACTATTCATACTATGTACTCATGCTTATATCGAACAACATTTAAAATAGAATAAGCTCCTTTTTTTTTTAATTGAAAAACTGTCAACAGGAGAATCTTTTAAATTTAATAAATATATATTTTTTTAATTTTAAATTTTAACTTTTAATCTGATGTATGTTGATAACAAATATCATTTATTATGAAAAATTGAAAAAAAATTGTAACATTTAAAATAATTTATATTATTTGTTTTAACAATTTTGATAAAATTTTTTTAATGTTGTATCTATCATATTACATTTAATTAGTATTTTTTTTTTTTAGTAAACTGTTTATAAAAAAGTATATTAAGAAAAATTTTCACATTATATGAAATAAGATAAATGATTGATTAAAGCTAAAAATAAAAAAGTTTTATTTAAACATCATTTTGCTGCATTTATTTTTAATACCTGAATTTTTACTCATTTATTGTCTGTATCAACAAATTAGATAATTATATTTACATTTTTTCAAAATTTTCTTCAAATTTGCAAGTAATACAAGTATGAGTGTAAGTATCATCATAAAGATGCTTTTCTGGCCCAAATTCGTGAGTGTGAGAAGCAGTTGTACGATCATACAAGCTACTCCTTACATTCATTCTTAAAGCTTTCATTTGTTTTTGATATTTTTTAAATTTTGATTTTTCTTTTTTTTCATCTCTTTCCTCTTTTTCTTTTTCAAGAGCTTCTGGAGTACCCCACACTTCGAGAGCTCGTTTTTCAATTTGCAATAATAAATACAGTTTCATTTCTCCCCAATTTGAATTATGTGGGTTTTTCCTGCTAATAAATTTAAGTGGAGGTTCTCGCTTATCAAAATCACAGTCTTTTAACAAATATTCACTTTTCGCTTCAGTTTTTGTGATGAGGGCATGCTTATCATCATTATCTCTACATTTGTCACATACAGGGTAGTCAAAATTTAAAAACAAAAATGAATCTGGAAATTTTTCATTACACTCCAAACAGTTGGGTCTTTCCGGCTCGATAATCGGAGGAGGGATAGTAGTTAATTCCTCAGGCAGTGTTGGCTTAACTTCTTCATTGTTTTCTTCAATTAAAAACCCACCACCACTATCTATAAACCTACTGCCTGCCACCCTAATAATGCTTTTTTCAACTGATTCTGATACATTACTAAAAATTATAAAAATATTAAAAGTTTCACAGTTGCTGTTAAAAAAAAAAAAATTAATTTGTTCATGTTAAACAAAGTACATACATTTTTGCATAAGGATGAGGTATTAAACGAGCTTGCTTAAGCATTAAAGCTCTTTGACGATTTCTTTCTATTTGAGCTCTGACAGAAGCAGGCAATTCTTTGGCAGTTGTAGCATTTTCAATAACTTCTTTAGTATTTTCTTCGCTTTCTAATCCCCCGATACGGGTAGATTTAGTTGTTGCAACTTCAGTCATTATTATAAAAAATTTTAGAAAAACTACTTTTATTAATGCAACAAATATAATTTCATATTAAAATTAAGAAATATAATTTACTGCAAAAATAATTTTAAAACAGTATATCGCACGCGTTTAAACAATAATTAACAAAAAATAAAAATAAAAACAAGTAAATTAAAAAAAAATATTAAACACACACACACACTGTCTAACAAGTAAATACAAATTAAAAGTTAAATTCGAAATGTCTCGGTAGATGGCAGTAATAAGAACTCTATGGAATTTTTATTCTATGGAAAAAATTCAAAGTCATAGAGTTAAAATTGTAACAATGGATTCCTTATTATTTATTCTTAGAAAAAAATTTATTATTATTACTTATCATAAATTTCTAATATAATGATGATTTAAAAAATACAAAACGTATTCAAATTATGAAAATCTTCAATATATTCTAAAACAATCCTAACTTCGGTCTAAGATTACGCTTTATATAAAAAAAAAAAAAACAAAATTTATAATTTTAAACTTATTTTTGAATTTACTAAGCAAAGATTAAATTTAAATAAATCGAAAATATCATTAAAAGCATTAATAAAAGTCTTACAAAACTCATTAGAAAAAAATTTAATTACCTGACTGGTATTATAACTATAAATTGATATTAATAAATATGAAAAAACCGTTAAACTTGTCATGACTAGTGCAAAATCAAAATGGATGCTTTAATCAGAAAAAAAACCGTTAACATTAATTAAAAATAAACTTTTTTTTTCTTATTAATTTAAAAACAAACCAAAATTTAAAAATTTTCTGTTGAAAAATATTTTTAAATTTATGTAAAAAACACTCTTTGTTATAATTTTTACCCTTTTCATTATTCAACTTCAATAAAAAAAAAAAAAAAAACTATAAAAAAATTTTTCTCATTTCCAATTTAAACATATTATTATTATTATTATTAGAAAACTAATAATAATAAAATAACATATTTAATTATTAATAATAAAATATTTTAACGTTTAATTTAAGGAAATTTTAAATAAAAAAATTTTTTTTGTTTTATGTGTAATTAAAAATTTTTAATGTGCTTTGAGTTTTTTTTTTTTTTTTTTTCTAAAAAATAAATACAATAAATACTTTTTATTTTATTTTTATTATTATTATTAAATAAAAACTAAACATTTTCTAATATGTATATTTATTTTATGTATTTATATATATTTATTTATTATTAAAATTAAAATTACATTATAAATTTTTTTTTTTTTATATTGAAAACATTATTTATATAAAACTTACATTTTATAACAATTTTTATTTATTTATTTATTTTATGTGTATTATTTAATCTGTATTCGCGAGCTTTTATATATATGTGTAATTTATTATTTATTTATTTATTAAATATATTAAAAATATTATAAATACATTATATATATATATATATATATATATATATATATATATATATATATATAATGTATTAAATAATAAAAATAATTTCTTTTTTTGGTTCATTTAAATTTTTTTCTCTAATTTTTATTACGCTAAAAAAAAAAAATAAATAAATATTAATTATATTACATTTGGTTCTTTTGGCCAATCTTAATAAATCATCATTAATAAATAAATAAATAGATAAATAACATATTAGTATAACATTAATAAATAGATAAATAAATAATTTTTTTTTTTCTTAATGGCGTTCGTGCGTGCGTGCGGCGTGTATTTGTTTTTATTTAAATAATAATAATAATTAAGTTTGAAAAACCGTTTGAAAAAAATAAAGTACAATAAATGTGAATAAATGATAATAATAATAAAACTTATTTATTTCCTTTTTATTTATTATTTAAAAATAAAAATAAAAAACGTCCATTTTTTTTTTTACTACTCATAAAAATGATTTTACTAATAAAAATTTATTATTATTATTATTAGTTTATTTACGGTGTTGTACACGTTTTATCAGGTGCGAAACTTTTTTTTTTTAAACAAATAATAATAATAATTTAAAATAAATTTATTTATTTTATTTTATATATTTTATTGACGTGACCGGTTATAAGAGAATAAAAAAAAGCAAATGTGTGTGTGTGTTTACATAAAATTTTATTTTAAAGTCTGAAAGAAACAATTTACTTATTTATTTATTTTTTATTAATATATATTTATGTATATTTATGTATGTTTATTAATCTATAAAACAATTATTTAAATGGGGTGAGATTTAAAATAAATAAAAAACATTTCTACTACTTTACAAAAGTGGAAATAAAAAAAAAAATTAATTGATATTTATGTACATAAAATTGTTTACGCTACTCACTACCGTTTGAAAAATAATAATAATAATAATAATAATAATAATAAATTAATTAATAAGTCATTCGACCTTACACTATCTATCTTATATATTAATTCTAAAAAAATAAAATTAAATTAAAAAATTTAGTTTTTTTTTTAATAAGAAAAAAAGTTTTTTTTGTAAACTTATTAATAATAATAATAATAATAACAATTTTTAATTTAATTAGATATGAATGAGGCACTACACAACTAGCTTTTTAAATGCATACATAAAATTTTTTTTTTATAATATTTAAATTAATAAATACGTCACGTAATATAAAACAAAAATAAACAAACAAACAAACAAAAACCCTGCTTGTTAATAAAAAAATTTCTTTTTTTATTTTTTTTTTTTATTCTGTGGCCCCAAAAATATTTCAATCAGACTTTAAAAAAAAAAAAAAAAGGAAATTAAAAAAATTTTCATAAAAATTAATTAATAAACAATAATAATAATAATTAATAATGGCGATTAATAATGTTAAGATTGGCCAAAATTTTTTTTTTTTTTTTTTTATTCTTAAAATTATTACTTTCGTCCGTTTTTAATTTTAATTTTTTTTTTAAGTCGACACGTTTTTTTTTTTTTTATCGAAATTGCCCCATTTTGTTTTTGTTTAAAACAAATCGAATGCTTTTTTATTTTACAAAAACAAATAATAATAATAATAATTCAAATCTATAAATAATATTAATAATAATAAGTCATTTGTATTTTATAATTAAATTCACTTTTAACGATTCAATTAATTTTTTTTTTTTTTTTTTTGAAACGTGTCTGTTTAACAAAAAATGGTGGGAATAAAAAAAAAATCGGGTCGTGAACAATAATAATAATAATTATTATTATTATCATTAATAAAATTATTTTTAATATTTAATAAATTTTAAATAAAACGAAAAAAAAAATCCGATTAAAAATTTATCTAAATAAATTAATTTATTTAAAAAACTAAACGTACCGTAGGAATTAACTAATAATAATAATAATAATAAAATTTTAATTTTAATTATCATCATCATTATCATCATTGGGATAAATCGAAAATAATATTATTAAACGATTATACACATTAATTTAATTATTATTATTATTTTTTTTTTGTCATTTGGCATTCGATTTATTTTTACGGGCAAAAATTAATTAATTTATTAATTAATCACAAACTGTGCTCCATATTAAAATATTATTTATTATTATTATTATTATTAACATTTTGTTTGCTTTTCAGACAATTGACAATCGAACACGGGTAGGCCTTATTGGTGTTTTTTTTTTTTTTTTTATTTGTTTCCTAAATATTTTATTTATTTTATTTTATTTTATTTTACCAATGCGTTATTATTATTATTATTATTATTATTATTATTATTATTATTATTATTATTATTATTATTATTATTATTTATTTATTTATTTATCCATAACTTGGTTTTCTCCGTTTGCCGCATGTTTTGAACGTAGAGCAATAAAAAATGATTTATATTTTGCATCATAGGTAATTCGGTCGACATATACAGCAGAAAGATCCCATATTGTTGTAAAATGAATTTCGCCTTTTTTTCGCCCATTGATTATACATTTCTTCACCGATCAAGGCTACGTTTTTTTCTACAAAATTTTTAAAACCATTATTATTATCATCATCATTATCATCATTATTATTATTAAACCATTAGGCGGGAAAAAAAGAGAAAAAAAAATCATCTGGAAATTATTTTACAATAATTACGAGAAAAAAAAAAAATTTTTATTTTTATTTTTATTTTCAAAAGAAACTTTTTCTAAACTTTTTTTTTTTTTTTTTCAAAAAGTTTAATAATAATAATAATAATAATAATAATAATAATATTATTAAGATAAAAAAAAAATAAAAGAAAAAATGATATCGAAATAGACAATTGTAAAATTAAAATAATAAAAGTTTATAATTAAATAAATCGAAAGAGAAAGAGAGAGATAAACAGACTTTCATATAAAACAACCCGCAGACTGAAAAAGTTTAAACAAATAATAATAAAAAATTATTATTATTATTATCATCATCATCATCATAAAAAAAAGGAAAATCTTATATATATATATATATAATTAATTGACGTAATCAAACGGAAAATTAAATAAAAACAAAAAAAAAAAAAAACATTTTTAAAATTAAAATTTAAAATAAATTTTTTTTGTTTTGTTTTGTAAACGAATAATGATAATAATAATAATAGGAGTTACCGGTTTGATTTTCCTGTTGTGGCATGTATTCCTGCATTTCCTGTAGAATTTTTTTAATTTCTTCGCTGTCTTTTGCTATACTACATATTTCTTCGGCATTGAAATCAGGAGTTATTGTTTTACATAATAATATTTGACTTATAACGTTACTAAAGTTCGATGTTCCTGGACGGTTCAAATTTTCAGCTGAAACGACAAAAAAGAAAAAAAAGGATTTGTCAGAGGGGGGTGGAGTGGGTGGATAGGTCGAAGGAAGGGGAAAGAGGGGGAAAAAAATTAATATTTTTTATTTCTTACCAATTTTTTCATTATTATTTTTTTCTTTCGTATTGAATTCTCACCGTAATAACTACTCATGTCCATCGGAACGACTTGTATTAGTCGACTACATTTAGCTAATTCACGAAGAAAAAGTTGTATCATAAAGAATAATAAAACAAAATGTGGATTATCTGCTGGGATCCCTTCGGCTACGGCACTGAAAATACAATTAAATAATAATAATAATGTAATTATCACATGAACGAATAATTACGATGGGGGAAGTGAGGGGGAATGTAACTTATCACTTGGTAATAAATAAGCTGATTCACGGGTTTAAAAAAAAAATGACGTCATTAATTTTTTTTCCCTCGCGTGTTAATAATTTTTATTTAATAATTTTCACGAAGTGAGTTGTTTTTTTTTTTATACGAAAAGGGATTCATTGAAAACCCAACAAAAATAAAAATTTTCCTTTTCCACGCTTTGCTCCCCATTTTTTTGTTATTACTAAAACAAAAAAAAAAAAAAAAAAAAAAATTTAATAATCTTTAAGCTTAAAAGCTCAAAAGCTTTTGTCGTTAAAAAATTAAACCGGAAGTTCAAAGCTTTTTTTTGCGGTATTATTATTACTATTTTTTATAAAAACTGTCTTTGTTCCTTTCATTATCGTCATCATCATTATTAATATTATTCAATAATAATAATAATTACAAAAACGATGACGAGAGTGTTGTGTTCAAAAACTGATTCGAAAGTTTACCTCTTCGGTATTTAATCAAAGAAAACGGATTTATCGAATGAAAAATAATAATAATAATGGTAATAATAATAATAATAATAATAATAATAATAAACTCGAGGGCAATAAATTTAATTAAAAAGAAAGAAAGAAAATAAATTATTATGCAAATTATATTATTTTAATTTAAAATTTAATATGAGAAAAAAAAAAGAACGTGTGAAACGAACGTATCACGTGATGCAACATTTCACTTTTATTATTATTATTCTTATTAATAATAAATAAATTGTAATAATAAAAAAATGTTTCAGATTAATAAAAATCACATTTTAAAATATATATATTTAAAAAAAAAAAAAATGAAAATGAGGTGGTAACAAAAAAAAAAAAATTTATTTCAGGGGATGATTTTGGTAAAATCGTACAATAAAACCATTTTAAAATAAAAGATTATCTAAAAATAATACAAAAAAAGATAAAAAAAAAAAAAACAAAAAAACGAACGCGAAAACAATAATGTCGCACAAAAAAAAAAGAAAAAAGAAAAAAAAATTTTTATTCACATTATGTAGTATTAAAAAAAATTTTTTTTTTTTGCGGTAAAAAGATATTAATTTTCGGTTCAAAAAGTTACCGTATTAAACCTTAAGGATATGTGCGTAACATTATTAAAAAAGAAGAAAAAAAAGTTTTTTTTTTGTTTTAAACTAATTCTACGAAAGATTTTTACTTTGTTCGGACTCGAGGAAAAAAAAAAAAAAGAAAAAAAGTTTTTTCACTCTTTTGTATTTTAAAATGTAAATGATTTTCAAATGGTTTTTCCAGAAAAAAAAACCTTTTTTCCTTTTTCATTCCCTAACTGAAGAAATCAAATCAACAACATAATATTTTTTTACTTAATAAAAATCTTATTCGATTTTTAAAACGTTTAAACGCGTCATTAATTTCCGTTAAATTCTTTAAGAAAAAAAAAAAAAAACTTAAAATTTTAATCGATCGCGATTGTAAATTTAATAATACTAATACTTATCGTGATGTATCCGTTAATGAGTCGGCCATTTTGATTATTTTCAAATCAAAAACGTTAAATTTAAAAGTTAAAAAAGTAAAAAGTAATACCGAAGTAATAACTCGCGTTTTCATTCTCTTACGTCCGCCATTTTGCGTAACGTCATTACTTACGTCATCGTCGTCTGCTTTTTTTTTGCAGTTGGTTGTACTTGAAGATCACGTGGGATGAGGGATTAAAATTTTATGTAAATTCTTTGTACTAATCAACGTTTTTATTGTTTGTTACCCGTGCGATAAATTTAAAAAGGGAAATTTTTTTTTTTTTTTTCCCGCTCAAACCTTTATTTTTAAATTTAAAAAATTACTTAAAAAATAAAAATAAAATTAAACGTTTATTGTCTGGATTTTCATCACATTGCCGCAAAGCTATCAAATCCTATTTTATTACATTTTTATTTATATAACCGTTTAAAATAAGAAATATATATATCTTCCTCTTTTTATTACCATTTTTAAAAGAAAATTTTACGTAATTAAATAATAATCTTTTAATAAAAAACAAAAAAATTCCCGATAATTTTTACGATTTCCCTTTTCGATTTTGGGGGGGGGGGTTTTAATTAATTTTTACAACATCAAATTACTTTTTTATCTTTACAATTAATCGAATCGAGTCTTTTTTATTTAACAACAGCAACAACAACATTGTGACAATATTTTTTTTTTTTACAAACTCTTTCAGTGTAAAATACAATATAATAATAATAATAATGTTATTTTACGACTCACAATTTGTTATTTGTCGCATTAAAAAAAAAAAAAAATTTCCGGTCTAGTTCGGTTGGTTTGATTCCACCATGAAATCATCATGGCTTAAACTTTTTATATATATACGAATTTAAAACGTGTCGAGTTTGTTGTTATCCAAACCTTTTTCGATTATTTATTAGAGACAGGATATCCTTCTAACTTCTAAAACCCCTCCCAACTTCCCTCCCTTCCTCCAACCCATTTTTTCATTTTTATTTTACAAAATTTATTTGTTTTTGTTCTTGTATAATGGCCGACCGACTCTCTAAACTTGATATAATTCATAACTTTATTATTATTATTATTTCTCTATTAAATACAAACAAACAACACACGCGTCCATGTTTGTTTGTACGACAAACATTTTCTTTTTATTACCCCCTTTTTTTAAAAAGTAATATTTTAAATTGTAGGCTTAAAAACAGTCGTTTTTTGTAAGTGGAAACGAGGAAATCAAAATGGCGTCAAAATGGCGGTGTTTGCTCACTTTTAACGAATGATGTTTTTTACCTTCGGATTGATAAATTAATTATTAACAACCGAAAATTTTATATTAAAATGGTTTTGTTAATTGACGGCGGTTGTTATGTGCGTGCAAATAAAAATTTTATATAATTTCGAAAAGAGTAAATTTCTATAAAAAAAAAAAAGAAAAAAGTTTTAACCGAAGATAAAAAAGGAAAATGCCAGAGACAAAAATATTAATAATGATAATAAAGATATGAAAAAAGTTAAACAATGGTTTGAGTTTGAAAAAAGTTAACAAACAATACTTAATTATTTTTGTTTGTTTGTTTGTTTCCCAGCTCGGTTGTCAGGTGAGGAGACGAATTTATTTTCGTAATATTATTTTTCTTAATTGAAATTTTCGAATCAATTTTTTTTTTTTTTTTAAAATAATTTTAAGCGCGCAAAACAAAAAAAAAATTTTTTAATTTTAAATTATTATCATTATTATTATTAATGTTGTCGTTATTTACATTAATTTATAATTTATTCTTTGGCACGTTTCAAAAAAAAATTATTTAATTTATAATATACGAAAAATACTTTTTTTTTTTTTAGCAAATGAAAAATTTTTACGTCATACAAATCTCTCTCACCGATAAAACTTTATCATTATTATTATTATTATTATTTTGGGGGGAGGGGGTGAGATTATTACCTTTTAATTTGAGGTAAAAGAAGTTGACTCGTGTGTTTGCAACCTTCCACGCAACTTCTTCTCGTTTTTCGTATTTTTTCTCTCAGCTCTGGACTATCTTTTGACTGTCCTATGTGAATGAGCATATCTCTGAACAGAGCCAGTTGACTATTGATTTCCGTTAGAAGCTGTAAGGAAGAGAGAGCAGAAGAAAAAATTAAAATTATTTGAATGTAAACAATTTCCGGAAAAAAAAATAATAAAAATCAAAGACAAACGCGTGAGGAATTCATTATGTCACCATTCAAAATGGCGACAACAGCAACAAAAATTCGCGTTTCTTTCTTTCTTTCTTTCTTTATGGAACTTTTACAAAAACAAATTTGAAAAATTTTAAAGTGAAGATATGCGCGTGAGGTACTAATAATTCCCACGCAAAAAAAGGTTAAATCTTGAAAAGGAAGGAAATCGTAAAAAGAGACAAAAAAAAAACGTTCTTCGAAGTGGAAAAAAAAAAAAATTTTCCAAGATAACCTCATATAAATTTCTCCCTCTCCCTCCCCAAATAAAAAAAAGAAAATTTGTTCGTTATCATTATTATCATTTAAAATAAAATAAAATAAAAAAAGAAATTTAAATTTAAATGAACCGTAAAAAAAAGCAGAAAGGTCAAGTGGCTTTATTAGATAAAGGTCAAAATAAAAAAAAAAAAATTGAAAAATTTTCCCATTTAAAGTGACCATTATTATTATTATTATTGCGAAAAGAAAATTTAACAAATGTTGATAACGTGATATTCATATCGAAAGGTTATTTTTCCGGGGATAACAAAATTGTATGAATGGAAACCACGAAGGTCATATTGAAAGAAGGTGAAAATATGTGAAGAAACTACTGGAAGAAAAAAACTTTTTTTTTTTTTTTTTATTAAAAACGTAAAAAGAAAATTTTTAAAGAGATAATAATAATTAATTGAATGATTAGGAAAAAAAAGAAAACTCAAGTTAGTAGAGAAAATTGCGTAAGTTTTTAAAAATGGCGGATTTTAAAAAAAAGAAAAAATGAAAACTGTTTCGCCATGAATTTTTATCATCGTTAAATTAAATTAATATTTTCGGTGTATTAAATTTATAAAAAATTTTCCCACCGCGTAAATTAAGAAAGAGAAGCAGAAGACAAAAAAAAAAGAAAAATTTATTTTAAATTTATTCTAGAAAAAGTTTTTAACGTAATTTATCATTTTGCCATAACGAACGAACTCTTTTTTTTTTTTTCATTTTCTTAACCGTTTTAATTATTTTACGGTTTAATTTACGAATAAAAATCATTATTATTTTTACAACGAATGATACTGGAACCCTCACTGGAAATTTATAAATAATAATAATATAAATACACTGGAATCATTTTTTTATTGTTATTTATATTCCAGACTGGAAGAAGAACAATCGAAAAAAAAAAAATTTCCCGCGGGTTAAAAGATTTTAATTCTCCTGCTTCTGTTTGTTGTTGTCGACGTCATTGTTTTTGATGACGTCAAAACGTCTGCTAGAGAAGAAAAAAGTTTTTTTTTCTAATAATAAAAACTTATAATTTTTTTTTTGTTTCTGCCTTATTCATTTCCGTTTTTTTTGCATATTATTTTTATTTCAGTTTGAGAACGACTAACTGGAAATTCCAGAAAATTGTTTTTATTATTATTATTATTATTATCATCAATATTTAATTCGAAATGAGAAACGTGACGTCTTAAATACTTTTCCATTTAAAAAATAAATAAATAAAAATTATTATTGTTTTTTAATTGGGTAAACGCGTAAAGTAAAGTAATAATTTTATTATTATTATTATTATTATTATTATTATTATTATTATTATTATTATTATTGTTTAAGGGTGTATTAAATTATTTGTTAAAAAAAAAGTGGGGGGGATTTAAAAAAAATACAAAGGAAACATGGGCGTGGCAGGCTGAGGGGGGAGAGAGAAATGGAAAAAAAAATTGAATCGACTCGAATACAAATTCAACGGAAAAAGGAATGAAAAAAAGGAAAAAAAAGGGGGGAAAAAAGGAAAAAAAGGGTGAACGATGTGAAATGAAATGTGTCAGAAAGCGGGGGAGGGGGAAGGGGAGTTTAAAACCTGGAAGGTTCGCTGGAATTAAAAAAAGAAAAAATTTTTTTTTTATTATGAATTTTAATAAAATAATAATTTATTTTTTATTTTCACTTTACGGATTTCAACTCGGAAGGAAAAATATAATAATAATAATAATAATGATGATGGTGATGATGATGATGATGATAATGATGATGATAAAAAATTATATAAATATGATGAAGTGTAAAAGTTTTTTTTGAGTAAAGGTTGACATGGAAAAAGTTATGCAGAAAACTTTGTTGATCGCAATTTTTTCCTTCTCCTTCTTTCCACCCTTTGCCCTCTGATTGCCCTTTTACCCCTCTCCCCAACCCCTCATGTTATTTCGTCTCCCTCCCGCCTGTGTTTTTTTTTTTCTTTCGCCCTTATTTAAAATCTTTTCACGCTTTTCACTTAAAATAAAAAAAGAATAATTTAAAAAAAAAAAAAAGTTTAACTAAAAAACTTTTTTTCTTCATTTTTTTTTTTTTTTTAATTTTTAAATAATCGTGTCAACAGACGTGTTATTTTACTTTTGACACGATTAAAAAAAAAAATATAAGAGAAAAAAAAGAAAATTGACGGACGGTAAAAAACGAAAAAAAAAATGAAAAAAAATTATTTCCAAATAAAATTTCACGATGGTGGTGGCGAAAGAAAAAAAAATTTTTTTTT